GAACTTCCACGTGCTCTAAACCAGGGAAATCTCAGATAACTGGGCGTGATCTGTCTATAGATATCCATAGTCTATAGGTAAATACCTTCCAAAAGGAGGATCTTCCTCTCAGCTGGCGATCCTCTGCTTCGGGCTGTACCAAATTGTGAATACTCTTGCTGTGTTGTACCCAGTTGCTTTATATTAATACTGCAACTTGAAATGGGGAGGGAGGGGGGACAGCTGGGGGGGGCGGGGAGTGGGGCGGTCGGTCTTTTGAAGACATCAGCTCACTGTGCTGAGAGGGACCAAGCTCAAGGAAACCTCTGACCTAGACATTGAACTGCTGCATTTTTTATAAAGACATGTAAATGTCCTGTTGTAATATTTGATCTTGGAAATAAAAACAAAAACTTTTCAGTATTACTTTTCTGTGCTGTTGTTTTTACAAGATAAGACTCTCTGGATATGACTTTCAGTAAAGCAATTTAGATTTCAAAAGCTTGCTGTCCGACTGTCATGTGTGACATTTGCCAGCCTTTTTTCTGCCCTTCACAGCATGTGGAATGTTTATGGTAAGCACTGTCAATGTTGGCTGCGTTGTTACCGAGACACTGGGAAGCTGCTAGCCCTATTAGGCAAGTGCAAGTTCTGTATTTGACATACGTGGGCAATTCAAGTGTCTAGTCTTTCAGACCAGTGGTGATTACTGATAGTTCATTGAGGACTTAAAAAGTGAAGGAAATCAGTAAATTAATGGGCAAAAAGACGAGATAAAATTACATGGTATAATAGATAGAAATTGGTATCATTGCTGGATGCGGTGGCTCACGCCTGTACTCCCAGCACTTTGGGAGGCCGAGGCGGGCGGATCACAAGGTCAAGAGATCGAGACCATCCTGGTCAACTTGGTGAAACCCCGTCTCTACTAAAAATACAAAAATTATCTGGGTGTTGGCTGGGCTCAATGGCTCACGCCTGTAATCGCAGCACTTTGGGAGGGTGAGGCAGGTTGATCACAAGGTCAGGAGTTTGAGGCCAGTCTGGCCAACATGGTGAAACCCTGTCTCTACTAAAAATACAAAAATTAGCCAGGCGTGGTGGCGGCCACCTGTAATCTCAGCTACAGAGGCTGAGGCAGGATCACTTGAGCCCAGGAGGCAGAGGTTGCAGTGAGCTGAGTGAGATTGTACCACTCTAGCCTGGGTGACAAGAACGAAAGTGTCTCAAAAAAAAATCAGCTGGGTGTGGCAGTGGTGCCCGTAATTCCAGCTACTTGGGAGGCTGAGGCAGGCTGAATTGCTTGAACCCGGGGAGGTGGAGCTTGCGGGAAGCTGCAATCACGTCCAGCCTGGGTGACCAAGTGAGACCACCTCACCTCAAAAAAAAAAAAAAAAACTGGCCAGGCGTGGTGGCTCACACCTGTAATCCCAGCACTTTGGGAGGTCAAGAGATCGAGACCATCCTGGTCAACATGGTGAAACCCTGTCTCTACTAAAAATACAAAAAATTAGCTGGGCATGGTGGCGCGTGCCTGTAATCCCAGCTACTCAGGAGGCTGAGGCAGGAGAATTGCCTGAACCCAGGAGGCAGAGGTTGCGGTGAGCCGAGCCGAGATCGCGCCATTGCACTCCAGCCTGGGAAACAAGAGCCAAACTCCGTCTCAAAAAAACAAAACAAAACTGGCATTGCTGCTTAGTTCAGCTGTACAGTGACGGCTGTGTGCTCCTCCTCTTCTTTTTTTCTTTTTGAGATTGTTAGTCTCACTTTGTCACCAGGCTGAAATGCGGTGGTGCCATCTCAGCTCACTGCAAGCTCCCCTTCCAGGGTTCAAGTGATTCTCCTGCCTCAGCCTCCTGAGTAGCTGGGACTACAGGCCCACACCACCACACTCAGCTGACTTTTGTATTTTTCACAGAGCTGGGTTTCACCATGTTGGCCAGGATGATCTCGATCCCTTAACCTCGTGATCCACCTGCCTCGGCCTCCCAAAGTGCTGGGATTACAGGCGTGAGCCACCGTGCTGGCCTGTGCTCCCCATTCTTGTGGAACCATTTCTTATCCCCATGCTCCAGCCACATATGCCAAATAATAGGGATTTATGTGATGGGGAGCAAAACCCCTGCCCTCAAGGGACTTACTTTCTAGTTGGGAACACAGACAATAAACATACATGGAAAAACAGATTTGATTCTGATTGAACTTTAAAAAAGAGAAAAGGAGCCAGTAGGGAATTTTTTTTTTTTTTTTTTAATTTTAAGATGGAGTCTCACTCTGTCGCACAGGCTGGAGTGCAGTGGTGCAATCTTGGCTCACTGCAATATCTGCCTCCCAGGTGCAAGCAATTCTCCTGACTCAGCCTCCTGAGTAGCTGGGATTACATGTGCCTGCCACCATGCCCAGCTAATTTTGTATTTTTAGTAGAGGTGGGGTTTCACCATGTTGGCCAGGCTGGTCTGGAACTCCTGACCTCAAGTGATGCACCCGCCTCTGCCTGCCAAAGGGCTGGGATTACAGGCGAGAGCCATGACTGCAGCCTGCACCTCGGCTGGGTCTCTGTATGGTGCTGATCCCCAGGACTTGACTCTGGGTCCTCTTTAACCCTCCCTCTGTGATATTCTCACAACACCAACCCTTGTGTATAATGCTGCCAATTTCTCAAATCTCTGACTCCAGTCCATCCTCCTCCAAGCTTCAGACTCACACGTCCAGCTCCTTAATACTACACCTACAGTTGGAGGTATCACATTTAATCTGAAACTCCTCCCCACTCAGACCCACAAACCTGCCAGAAACTTAAGTCATTTTCTTTCATTCCCCCACATCCAATCCAACGGCAAGTCCTTTAACTTCTACCTCCAAAATGTGCATAATATAACCCTACTTTCCAATCCACTGCCATTAATCAAGCCCAAGTGTACCGAGACCAGCTCGGCCGTAGAGACCCCACCCAGGCGGCGCAGAGGGCATTGAGAAGCAGACACTCAGGTAGAACAGCCAAGTGGGACTATCCGGGGCCCACAGCCTTCCGAGCCGAGAGCCTCGGGCTGAGGGCCTCGAGCAGACGCTGACCCACCTAGTTACTGTCTCTGAACAGGTGATGCGTATTCACAAACAGGTGTTCTGCGTTTTCTCATAGAACCAAGATAAACTAGGTGGGCAGCTGGCGCCGGCTTACCACTGATCACAGACAAACGAAAAAGCATTCTCCACGAGGGAGGCACGGGGCCAGGGTCCACACCCCGTGTTTGAAGGATAGTTTTAACCAGTGCATGATGTTTGTATCCTGTCTTGCCCTTTAGAATGTCCCTAACAGTTTTCCATGCGGAGCTTGGCTGGCTAGGTTTTCCTTGCCATCCTTCTTCCTAGCAAACAATACGTTGTATCATCTACTCAGCATTTCTCAGCAATCATACACTTAGCATTTCTCAAGTGACCTGCTTTTCACCTTGATCACTGCAACAGTCTCTGCTCTTACTCTCTTCTCATTCCCCTCAGAACGTCCAGGCTCCTTACTTCATGCCACCCCGTTTGCTCACTGCCTGCCAGCTAACTGGCCTTCTCTCAAAGCTCAGCAGCCTCGGCAGCTCTTCCACGTAAGTTCTCCTCCTGGTCTCAGCATGGATCGCTTTCTTTCATCCTTCAGGTCTCAGCCTAAAAGTAAACTCTGCAACATTCTACTTAAAGTAGAATTCTCAGGGCGGGGCACGGTGGCTCCCACCTGTAATCCCAGCACTTTGGGAAGCTGAAGTGGGCAGATCACTTGAGCTCAGGAGTTTGAGACCAGGCTGGCCAACATGGTGAAAATCCGTCTCTACTTAAAAACACAAAAATTAGCTGGGCATGGTGGTGGCACCTGTAATCCCAGCTACTCAGAAGGCTGAGGCAGGAGAATCGCAGAACCTGGGAGGCGGAGTTCACCATGAGCCGAGATTGTGCCACTGCACTCTACACCCCAGCCTGGATGACAAAGGAGACACGGCAGAGTGACGTGTCAAGGGAGCCACGAGCGAGAATGTTCAGGAGGGTCCCGTGGCCAACGGTGTCTCATGCTGACTAGGAGTCAGGTAAAGAGGACAGTGAAGTGTTCCTCACTGGAGACCGAGCGCCGTTTCAGTGCATGCTGGAGGCAGAAACCTCGTTTCCGATATGTGTATACTAATGAGAAAACCCTCACTTCCCCTTCAGTGGTCTGCTATAAACGGCGGCTCTTTCAACTTATCTTCCCTTTTTTCCTCCTTCCAATTAAGGGAATGTGCTCTCTCGTCAGCTTTCGGTGAGTTTGGAGCTGCCGCTGTCATCTGGGTGACACTAGGGACGGGCCCGGCCGTCCAGCTGTATCTTCTTTCTCTTCTGCCAGTGAATTCTGCTTCAGCAGCTTCCTCCAGTCCTTGCTCAGATCCCACGACCTACCCTAGAATGGAACATCTGTCTTGCCTGTTCTCCCAGGCTTTTTTTTTTTATTTAGGACAAAGTTTCCCTTTGTTGCGCAGGCTGGAGTACAGTGGCACAGGCTTGGCTCACTGCAACCTCTGCTTCCCGAGTTCAAGCAGTTCTCTTTTAAGAAGGGAGACTCCTTCTTAAAAAAAAAAAAAAAAAAGGAAAAGAAAAGAAAAAGAAATTTTTTTTTATGATTTGTTGTAAAAAAAAAAAAAATTTTTTTTTTAACCACCTGTCTTTTTTTTCTTTTGAGATGGAGTCTCACTCTGTTGCCCAGGCTGGAGTGCAGTGGTGTGATCTCGGCTCACTGCAGCCTCCACCTCCTGGGTTCAAGCGATTCTTCTGCCTCAGCCTCCTGAGCAGCTGGGACTACAGGCGTGCACCATCACGCCAGACTAATTTTTGTATTTTTAGTAGAGACGGGGTTTCACCATGTCCGCCAGGTTGATCTCGATCTCCCGACCTTGTGATCCAGCTGCCTCGGCCTCCCAAAGTGCTGGGATTACTGGCGTGAGCCACCACACCGGACCTGAAATTCTTACACAGAAAGCAGCTCGTAGACAGTTTAGAAGAATTAAACTGTGCTCGTTTTGGCAACACATATACTAAAACGGGCGACACAGAGAAGTGCAGCCTCGCCCCTGCAAAGGTTGACACGAAAAGTAGTGAAGGGTTCCGATCTTATTTCAAAAAGCTAAACTGTGGTAGCCAATTATAATGACCCTTCTCATATGTGTGCATCAGGGGCTTTCTCAGGAATTGTTTTCCTCATTGGAAGTAAAAATCTCTGTGCAGAGACTGTGTGTGTCACCTCAGGCAGTGCATGAATTCATTCATTCATCCAGGGATTCAGTGATTCTTGAGCTCCTTCCTGCCATGTTCCCAGCTCTGTGAGGCTCGGAGTGAACAGAGCGGGGTAAGATACAGCCCCTGGCTGCAAGGGTCTCACAGCTGTGGGGCAGAAAGTGAATCACACTGCAGTGGACAGTGGGCAAAGAGTTCTTAAACAGACACAAAGAGCATTGACCATAAAAAAAGACTGACAGAGCTTAATCAAAATCAGTCATTTCTCAGCTGGGTGCGGTAGCTCACGTCTGTAATCCCAGCACTTTGGGAAGCCGAGGTGGGCAGGGTCAGGAGTTTGGGAGTAGCCTGGCCAACGTGGTGAAACCCCGTCTCTACTAAAAATACACAAATTAGCTGCGCGTGGTAGCACTACCTGTAGTCTCAGCTAGCAGGAGGCTGAGGCGGAAGAATGGCTTGAGCCCGGGAGATGGAGGCTGCAGTGAGCCGAGATCACACCACTGCACTCCAGCCTGGGCAGCAGAGAGAGACTCTGTCTCAAAAAAAGAATAAGAGAAAAGAGGCTGGGCGCGGTGGCTCAAGCCTGTAATCCCAGCACTTTGGGAGGCTGAGGCGGGTGGATCACGAGGTCAACAGATCGAGACCATCCTGGTCAACATGGTGAAACCCCATCTCTACTAAAAATTACAAAAAAATTAGCTGGGCATGGTGGCACGTGCCTGTAATCCCAGCTACTCTGGAGGCTGAGGCAGGAGAATTGCCTGAACCCAGGAGGCGGAGGTTGCGGTGAGCCGAGCTGAGATCATGCCATTGCACTCCAGCCTGGGTAACAAGAGCGAAACTCCGTCTCAAAAAAAAAAGAGAAAAGAAAAGGTGCTTACTCATCATGAAGATGCAAATTCAAACACAAGGACACGACAGGAAACGCCCACCACAACGCCCACAATTGAAAACGTGTATGAGAATGCAGAAACCGGACCTGTTACACACGCCTGTGGGCATGTAAATTAGTAGGAGTACGTTGGGAATCCGTTTGGCAGTATCTGCCAATCGTCAATATTCACCTGCCCTATGATGGTAGTCCTACTCCTAGGTACGTCCCTGGAAAAATCAGTGCGTAATTCCTTTGGAGGACAGGTAGAAGAATCTTCAGAGAGGCATTACTTATAACAGGCGAAAGTTGAAAATATAAACGTCCACTAAGAGTAGAAAATGTTGGTCGGGCGCAGTGACTCATGCCTGTAATCTCAGCACTTTGGGAGGCCAAGGTGGGCAGATCATGAGGTCAGGAGTTCAAGACCAGCCTGACCAACATGGTGAAACCCCACCTCTACTAAAAATACAAAATTAGCCAGGCATGGTGGTGTGGACATGTAATCTCAGCTACTTGGGAGGCTGGGGTGGGAGAATTGCTTGAACCCAGGAGGTGGAGGCTGCAGTGAGCCGAGATCATGCCATTGCACTCCAGCCTGGGCAAAAAAGAGCAAAACTGCATCTCAAAAAAAAAAGCAGAAAAATTGTAATATTTAATGCAATAATAGCAGTAAAAAAAGAATAAATTACATTATGGATGAATCTTGTATATAGAATATTGAGTGAAGAGAGCCACATAGGAAAACGAGACTGGACCAGTCACGGTGGCTCATGCCTGTAATCCCAGCACCTTGGGAGGCAGAGGCAGGAGGATCACTGAGCCCAGGAGTTCGAGACCAGCCTGGGCCTCATGGCGAGACCCCATCTCCACAAGAAATAAAACAATTAGCTGGGCTGGTGGGGCTTGCCTGTGGCCCCAGCTACTCGGAAGGCTGAAGTGGGAGGATCGCTTGAGCCTGAGCGGGTGAGGCTGCAGTGAGCCACGATTGTGCCACTGCACTCCTGCCGGAATGACACGGCAAACCCTGTATAAAAAAACAAGGGCGGGGGACTGTAAGGTTCCATTTATGTGAAATTCAAGAACAACTAAAAACAATCAATGATTGTAAGAGCCAAAATGAAAGTTAACACAGGGGACAAGGGATAAGGATGTCGTGTATCTGGATTTGTGTGGTGGTTCACCTAGGTATACATGTGAAAAGCCATCAGATTTTATCATTAAGGTTTGTGCTCCTTACCGTATACATGCCGAGTAATATCTAGATGTTTAAAATGCAATGGGAGCATAGAGAAGGAAGCACCTAACTCGGAGTAAAGAAATCTGGGCTGACTTCACTGGGAATGTTTGAACTGAATCTTGAATTCAGGAGCTTGTCCATAGAGGGCCACGGATCTCCCATGCAGAGAGAACCACAGAATCTTCAGCAATCTGGTGAGAGTTTGGTGTAAGATGATAGTGGCCTGGGGCTTGAACAAAAGTTAGGAGGCTGAGCGTGGTGGCTCATGCCTGTAATCTCAGCACTTCTGGGAAGCTGAGGCGGGCGGATCACAAGGTTAGGAATTTGAGATCAGCCTGACCAACATGACAAAACCTAGTCTCTACTAAAAATATAAACCTTAGCCAGGCGTGGCGGTGGGCGCCTGTAAATCCCAGCTACTCGGGAGGCTGAGGTGGGAGGATTGCTTGAGTCTGGGAGGCGGAGGTTTCAGTGAGCCGAGATCACACCACTGCGCTCCAGCCTGGGTGAGAGTGAGACCCTGTCTCAAAGAAAAAAGTGTAGTACAGGAAGGATGCCACACAGGGAGTCAGCCGAGGTCCAGGTTAGGGGAAAGGAAATGCGGTGGCTGCCTGCTCAGTGCTGTTCTGCCAAAGAGCCCAGATTCTGAGCGGTGGCACATGAGGTCCCGAACAGCTGGGGTGTGGAAAGCGCCGCTGCCTGGGGGCAGCGGAGGGTGAGGTGTTTCTCACGGGGGCAGCCAGTGACTCACCAGGACGGTGGTGCTCATGAGGCCACGCCTCCTGCTTCCTGCCTTGGAATCACATGAAAATGAGCCGAGGGTGGGTCAGCAGGCCCGGGCTGTCCGGGGAGAGGATGCGCCGTCAGTGCAGGCCTGTGGGCTGGGGCGTGGGGCGCACACGCGCGCCTTGGTGGCCTTACATACACACAGAGCCCCCGGGCCCTCCTGTCCAGAGTCCTGAAAGGACGACCTTCAGCTCCAGCCCTGCCTCACTCTGCCACCCAGGCTGGAGCCGGGCCCTGGGGCTGCAGCAGTGGACACCACTCTGAAGAGGCAGCCTTTCTCCGGGGTCTCCCGCATTCTGATTCTTGACTGCAGATGCAGGTAAGCAGAGATGAAGGCGCGAGGTGGCGGCCGGGGAACAGCATGGCCTCCTGGATGAGACACAGGCTCCGCAGCTGGGCGTCTGTGCGGCTTCGGGCAGGTCTCGGTACCTTCTCCTTGCCTCAGTCTGTCACCGTCTGGCCTTTGCACGCACCTAGGACGCTTTTCCCGCCTAATGCCTCATTGCCCAGCAAGGATGAGCACGGGCAGCACCTCCTCCCGCAGCCTGCGTTCTGCTTCTGCCCCCTGGGATTAGGTTCCCGCATGCGCTCCGTGACACCTTCGCTGGAGCCTCTGCCTGGTGCTGGTACCAGCGGCGAATCCAACGAGCCTGCAGCAAACTCAATCCTTGCCCTTCTTGGGGGAAAGATTCTGCTGAGGGGCAGAAGGAGGTTTACGGCAGAGCCGGAGACCGAGGCAAGTTTTAGAGCAGAAAGAAACGTTTACTAAAAAGTTTTAGAGTTGGAAGTAGGGCTCGGTAGCTCACGCCTGTCATCCCAGCACTTTCAGAGGCGAGGCGGGCGGATCACGAGGTCAAGAGTTCGAGACCATCCTGGCCGGACGTGGTGAAACCCCGTCTCTACTAAATATGCAAAAATTAGCCGGGCCTGGTGGCGCGCGCCTGTAATCCCAGCTACTCGGGAGCCTGCGGCAGGAGAATCGCTTGAACCCGGGAGGCGGAGGTCGCAGTGAGCTGAGATGGTGCCACTGCACTCCAGCCGGGGCAACGAGGCGAGACTCCGCCTCAAAAAAAGTTTTAGAGCAGGAATGAAAGGAAGTAAAGTAGTGAAGTGCACTTGACTTGAGAGAGGCCTGGACTTCGGGTTTCACGCACCGGCAGGGTTCCGGGGTCTGCGTCCCTCGAGCGGGCTGTCCGCACGCACAGCGTCTGCCAGCACTTGGGAGGGGCCGCATGCGCAGTGTGTTTACTGAGGTTGTGCGCATGCTCACTTGGGGCGTTTTTCCCTCATCAGTGGAGCGTCTCTAGAGGAAGGTCACATGTCAGGTAAACGCTGCCATTTTGCTTCTCAGTGCACCTGCCTGAGCCCACTCGCCCAGCTCCTGAGCTCTTACCAGGAAGCTGCTGGTCACCGGGTTAAGGGAATTTCTACCTATTGGGAGACTGTCTCTCCCTGGCACTGGCTGTGACCAATTACTATTTTAGAAAGACAGTGAGTGTGGCTACCGCCTGACCATCACTTGATGGTCATCTGATTTTACTGCGGGGCGGGGCCGTCTCCGGCCCTGCTCATGTCTGCTGTACCACTTACCACACTTCATTAATTGCTTTTCAGTTAGCCGGACCAACGTGGCGAAACCCCATCACTACTGAAAATACTGAAAATTAGCTGGGTGTGGCGGCGCATGCCTGTAATCTCAGCTACTCAGGAGGCTGAGGCAGGAGAATCACTTGAACTCGGGAGGCAGAGGCTACAGTGAGCCGAGACCACGCCATTGCACTCCAGCCTGGGCAACAAGAGCGAAACTTCATCTCAAAACATGAATCTGCTTTTTGCTTTGCCAGTGTCCCCACTAGGCTTTAAGCTCCTCTAGAAAAGGGGTTGCATCTTTTTCATCACTGTATCCCTAGCCCCCAGCAAGTGCCTGTCGGGTAACGATCACTTAATGAATATCTGACTGAAAAAGAATGAAAGAAAAGGCTTGCTAGGTGGCCAGGGAGATAAACAGATGTAGAGAATGTGCAGTCTCTTCCTCCGTGTAATTTAACCCATCACTTTTTTTTTTTGACTCACTGTCACCGAGGCTGCAGTGCAGTGGTGTGATCTTGGCTCACTGCAACCTCCACCTCCAGGTTCAAGGGATTCTCCTGCCTCAGACTCCCAAGTAGCTGGGATTACAGGCACCTGCCACCACACCTGGCTAATTTTTGTATTTTTAGGAGAGATGGGGTTTCACCATGTTGGCCAGGCTGGTCTCGAACTCCTGACCCCAAGTGATCCACCCACCTCAGCCTCTTAAAGTGCTGGGATTGCAGGTGTGAGCCGCCATGTCCAACCAATTAGCCAATCATTCTGTTGTTGCCCTGACATCTAGCAGATGATTTGTTCACCTAGGCAGGATCTTAGCACAGAGCAAGGGACTCCCCAACATCCTGGTTTTAAGGTTTTACCTTCTGATCTTGTTTGTCTCTTCAGATACCGAGTTAGCTAACCTTTTTGCTAACCTCCTGGTTCACATTTTTGGAAGCGTTTCTCTGAATGTTATAATTTCTGGGGGAATAAAGTCAAAAACAGGAGGCAAAATTCAAAGGAAGCCACAGCACAGCAAGTGCTTTTAGTGTTCTATTGGCGGGCCGCCAGGCTCCTCTGAATTCCACTCATCCTTGCTGTTAATCCCTTTTTTTTTTTGAGACGGAGTTTCTCTCTTGTTACCCAGGCTGGAGTGCAATGGCATGATCTCGGGTCACCGCAACCTCCGCCTGCTGTGTTCAGGCAATTCTCCTGCCTCAGCCTCCCGAGTAGCTGGGATTACAGGCACGCACCACCATGCCCAGCTAATTTTTTGTATTTTTAGTAGAGACGGGGTTTTGCCATGTTGACCAGGATGGTCTCGATCTCTTGACATCGTGATCCACCTGCCTCGGCCTCCCACAGTGCTGGGATTCCAGGCGTGAGCCACCGCGCCCGGCCTGTTCCCCTTTAAGACTTTTCTGATAGGAAAATTTACTGTAAAAGAGATTGTCAGGGAGGCAGGGCACAGTGGCTCACACCTGTAATCTCAGCACTTTCGGAGGCCTGGGTGGGTGGATCACAAGATCAGGAGATCAAGAACATCTTGGCCAACATGGTGAAATCCCATCTCTGCTAAAAACGCAAAAAATTAGCCAGGCATGGTGGTTCGTGCCTATAGTCCCAGCTACTTGGGAGGCTGAGACAGGAGAATCACTTGAACCCAGGAGGTGGAGACTGCAGTGAGCCGAGATCGTGCCATTGCACTCCAGCCTGGGAAACAGAGCAAGACTCCGTCTCAAAAAAAAGAAGAGATTGTCAGGGGCTTGATGCTGGTGAAGTGTGTAGCCAGTCCTTTCTCAGAGGTTCGAAGGCACTAAATGCATTCCTGCACTAGGGTGCCTCCTGGTCCCATGATCTAGAGCACACACTTGAAAGGCCAAGCACACCCATCTTTCCTTGGGTCCCTGTCATTTGGGGGGAGTGGGTTAAAGCTGTGACTTGCTAACACCCTGGGTGGTTAATTTGCCTCAACGCAGAATTACACACGAAAAGCCCTGCACTGCACTGTGGGACCATCTCGGAGGGAGGATTCTGGGACATGTGCTGGCATCGCAGCAGGTGGGCAGGCTATGAGGAGGGCTGTTCCCCACAGGTGCGCTGCTCCCAGGAGGACAGGAGTCCAGGGGTCTGCCAGCCAGAGGGCTGACAGGGGAAGAAACACACCATCCCCCTGATTCCTGACCCTACCCTGCCCTTGGGCACCTGGGGTAAGGGCCACTGTTCTTTCATATCCTATCCCTACCCTCCCAGTGCACCACTCCCCTCTGCTGAGACCTGAACTCCCTTTCATCTGGGACAAGTTCTCTCATTCATTGTGAGAGCCATGGCTTAGAGGGCTAACGCCCAATGCACACGACGTGCAGTCAAGACAGCTCGCCATAACGAAACAGAACAGCAGCAGGAAGTTCCCTGTGGGGAGGGGCAGAGATGAGCATGGGGTGAGATTACAGGAAGCAAAGGTCACAGCGCTATGGGGCTGGGGTGAGGGAGAGGGGGCCAAGGCATATCCTCGAACTAAACAGCCTGCTCAGTGTTTTGTCCACCACCACTTGCTTTACCGTACGCTATAGTCTGGCCAGGCACAGTGGCTCACGCCTGTAACTGCAGCACTTTGGGAGGCCAAGGCAGGCAGATCACTTGAGACCAGGAGTTCAAGACCAGCCTGGCCAACATGGTGAAAATGAATCTCCACTAGAAATGCAAAAATTGGGTGCCCAGCCCAACTTTTGTATCTCTAGTCAAGAGCAGCCTGACCAAGATGGAGAAACCCCATCTCTACTAAAAATACAAAACTTAGCTGGGCGTGGTGGCACGTGCCGGTAATCCCAGCACTTTGGGAGGTCGAGGTGGGGGGATCACAAGGTCAGTATGATGGGATATAAACTATGCATGTGAAAGCAGGGTTAGCAGAAAGTGAAACAATTAAATCTTAATCACTGGGGAAGATTTATAAGGAGCAGAGGTTTTTTTCTTACTGTTGTTTTGGGTTTTTTTGAGACAGAGTCTTACTCTGTCGCCCAGGATGGAGTGCATTGGCATGATCTCAGCTCACTGCAACCTCTGCTTTCCGTGTTCAAGTGATTCTCCTACCTCAGCCTCCTGAGTAGCTGGGATTACAGGCACGCGCCACCATGCCCAGCTAATTTTTGTATTTTTAGTAGAGACGGGGTTTCACCATGTTGACCAGGCTGGTCTCAAACTACTGACCTCGTGATCCACCTGCTTTGACCTCCCAAGTGCTGGGATTACAGGCATGAGCCACTCTGCCCAGTGCCCAGCAAGGAGTAGAGTTTTTAAGCAAGTTCCTTGGCTCTCACTGGTTGAACCCTGGGAGGTGATGGTTTCTGTTGCCCCCAGCCATCACATGCTGCTGGCTGAGCAGCAGAGCTGCCATGACTCTGTCTCTCTGTTCCAGGATGCTGTCCTCTCTCTGCACGCTGGCTTGCTCACGGACTTGCTCCCGGATCCTAGGGCTGAGCCTTGGGACTGCAGCCCTGTTCGCTGCTGGGGCCAACATGGCACTCCTCTTTCCTAACTGGGATGTGACCTACCTGTTGAGGGGCCTCGTTGGCAGGCATGCCATGCTGGGAACTGGGCTCTGGGGAGGAGGCCTCATGGTAAGTGCCTGGGGTTCCTTGAATGTGAACTCCCAGAGTTCCCTGGGGGTGGAGCAGGAAGGTGGCACAGGAAGTGTTTTGAAAGTTTATTCTAACAAGTTGCTCTTGGGTCTGTAGAGGCTCTAAGAGACAGGACCAGGAAGGTCGGAGGGGAGGGTCAACATCCACGGGGTTAGATCAGGCTAGTCATCGAAACTTGGGTCCCCGGAGTTCATGTGAGGTGCCCAGCCACTCTATTTCAACAGCTGTGGGCAGCAGCCGGAAACCGTTGGAAAGGAAATTTCCCAATGTCAACACTGTCCTCTCTCCTCCAGGTACTCACTGCAGCTTTCCTCATCTCCTTGACGGGCTGGAGATCCGGCTGCTTCAGGAAGAGTGGGCTCTGTCCAAGTGTAAGCACCAGATTCCACTTCCTAGCACCTGGAATGTCTCCACTTCTCCTACTCGAGAGGCAGAGTGGTAAAGAGGCGATTCTGGTCTTGGGGCTTGAAGGGAGGTCCTGGCTGTGACCCTCAATCACGCTAATGTCTTGGGCAAGTTGCTTAATCTTTTCAGTTTCAGTTTCATCTGTAGACTGGGAGCTGAAGTCAAGGGAGCAGTGCTCAGTGAACCAGACGCCTGCAGCCGTGAGGAACTGTTATGTTCTTAGCCTCCTGGACAACGGGGACATGAGTTATGACACTGATCATGTGTCATTGACGGACATTTTCCTGGTTATTTTAACTAAGATTTTCTTAGAAAAGTTTTCCAGAGATTATGTAATCACTAGGTTCTAATCTAACCCCACCATTTTACAGATAATGAAACTGAGGCCAGAATAAATTTATACTTTGTGAATTACAGCGGCAACTGTATAAACTTGAAAGAGCTCAGTATATGTGTGTGACACACACACGTTCAGTCTCAGACATGAACCTGTGGCCTTACGGTAACTCCACAGCCTGCTCTGATGTCTGCAGCCCACATGTTGGGAAGCCCACTGACTCAGATAGGCTGCGCATGGTGGCTCACGCCTGTAATCCCACCACTTGGAGAGGCTGAGGTGGGTGGATTACCTGAGGTCAGAAGTTTGAGACCAGCCTGCCCAACATGGTGAAACCCATTTCTACTAAAAATACAAAAATTAGCTGGGTGTGGTGGTGTGCACCTGTAATCCCAGCTACCTGGGAGGCTGAGGCAGGAGAATCACTTGAACTCAGGAGGCGGAAGTTGCATTGAGCCAAGATTACGCCATTGCACTCCAGCCTGGGTGACAGAGACTCAGTCTCAAAAAAATAAAATAAAAAAGATAAACAATTTCATTGGATGTCTGTTCTCAGTCCCCTCTGGCTTTCCTTGAGGCAAGCAGTTCTCACACTTGAATGTGTGTCAGAATCGCCTGGAGGGCTTCCTAGAGCAGGATTGCTGGGCTCCCTCCCCAGACTTTCTGGTTCAGGAGTGGGTGGAGCAGGAGGCTTTGCATGTTTAAGAAGTTCTCCGGTGATGGGACAGCTGGGCCAGGGACCCCATTTTGGTGACCACTGCCCTCAGCTTACTAGTGCATCTTGAACCTTTCAACTCAGAGTCCAAACGTACTACGCACCTTTCTCTGATACCCCCAGCTCCAAACCAGCTTGACGTCAGTGGGAAAATGACTCCATGACTCTGCAGAAAAATTTGAGATGTTATTCAGATTTTTAAAATATACATTTTTGGAGGAGGGAGAAAAAAAGGTAGAACCCTAAGAAAGAAGCCACTATGTAAGCAGGCTAGAAACCTGCCAAGGAAGGAAAAATGGGTACTTTCGGGAGGGCGGCAAGAGCTCAGACTGATCACCAAGGGAGCTCTTGGTGGAGGGGCGCAGTGACAGGAGTGGAGTCATTTCAGAGTTTCGCTGCAGCTTCTGTCCCTTTCTCTCCCTTCTTCCCTCCCTTCTTTCCTCCTCCTTTCCTTCCTTCCTTCCCTCCGTCCCTTCCTTTTATACTTGATTTGAAAAAGAGAAGAATCAGAGCTGGGAGTCTGGAACTTTTGAAAATGCGGCTTTTCCTTACAAGAGTCAGAGGTGGGCCTGTGATAATGAATCAGCCTCTTTAATTCAGAGGCCAATGGCTGCGATCTGCACTAGGTTTGTGAGCAGCTCTTCCCAACTCGCTGGGCTAGAGCCAAGTGCCTGAGTTTCCCCTTCTCGGTCCCTTCTCTTCCAGCCCTTCCTGGCTCTACCTAGAAGCCCCTCATTGGCCTCCCCACCTTGGGTTATGCTTGAAAGCGGGTGCCATGGATAGAAATCCTCCTCCCCCTCCCCCCCCACAACAGGACGGAATTTAGAGCTGTGCAGATCACCCCGCAGGCTCCCCAGCGGCGACCCGTCCGTCTCAGCTTGCCGTCTCATCCTCCCTCCCAGGTGCTCGCTGGTCTGCTGTCAAGTGGCCTGGCTCTACTTGGAGCCCTGATTTGCTTTGTCACTTCCGGCGTTGCTCTGAAGGACGGTCCTTTTTGCATGTTTGACGTCTCATCCTTCAATCAGACACAAGCTTGGAAATATGGTTACCCATTCAAAGACCTGCATAGCAGGTAAATGGACAGAGGCTTGGATTTGCAGTCCAGAGCGAGAGGGAGAAAGGCAAAAAGATACACAGGTGAACTACAAGCTCCTTTGGGTCACACATTCTAGCATCTTGCTTCTCTGATGCTCAGAAAATTGCAAACGCAGCAGTAACGGTCACCCTCAGAGGCCCAGTCCTCCCACCCCGTCGGGGGAGGCCCAGTCCTCCGACCCGGTCAGGGGAGGCCCCACTTTGCTACTGGGGTTGCCTGTTTGGCTTCCTTGTCACCCAATCCGTGGTCTCCTTATTTTTTGGGATAGGAATTATCTGTATGACCGTTCGCTCTGGAACTCCGTCTGCCTGGAACCCTCGAAAGCTGTTGTCTGGCATGTGGCCTTCTTCTCCGCCCTTCTGTGCGTCAGCCTGCTGCAGCTTCTTCTGGTGGCCGTTCACGTCATCAACAGCTTCCTGGGCCTTTTCTGCAGCCTCTGCGAGAAGTGACAGGCAGTATCTTCACTTTCCAGCATGGGTGTTTTCATCACCGGCCGCCTTGAGTCCTTTCTACAAGGAGTGGTTATAAACCAACCTCCCCTTGAGGCATCCCTGGAATAACGATAACAGAATTCACTGCATTTGGTGGAATAATAAAATGCATTTTAAATCACGTTGTAAACTTGCAGGTGACGCATGCATAGGATAAATAATTAAGCCATTATAGATGTGTAAGAATTTATAGTCCGTAAAATGTCCTACAGCCGTGGTCTCATTTCCGCTTCTTGACAATCTCATAGACTTGGCGGTTTGTTACACGTGGAGAAGCGGAGGCTGGCAGAAGATAACAGGTTTCTACACAGAAGCACACAGTGAAGTTAAGAGGAAGTCAGCAGCCAGACCCCAGCTCCCTTTTTGTTGTTTTTGTTGCGACAGGGTCTCACTCTGTCCCTCTGGCTGGAGTACAGTGGCACAATCATAGCTTACCGTAACCTAGAACTCATGTGCTCAAGTGATCCTCTCGCCTCAGCCTCCGAGTAGCTGGGACTACAGGCACACACCACGACACCTGGCTGATTTTTGTAGAAATGGGGTCTCGCTACATTGCCCAGTCTGGTTTTGAACTGCTGACATCAGGTGATTCTCCGGCCTTGGTCTCCCCAAATGCTGGATTACAGGCACGAGTCACTGTGCCTGGCCCAGCCTCCATCTTCTAAATTCACGTTCCCCTGTTATTACGGACTGAATAGTGTTTCTTCCAAACCGTTGGTTTGAGCGATAACCCCCACTGTGACTGTCTTTGGCCATAGCACCTTTTTTTTCAGACTGTCTCACTCCATTGCCCAGGCTGGAGTGCAGTGGCGAGACCTTAGCTCACTGCAAACTCCACCTCCCAGGTTCAAGCAATTTTCCTGCCTCAGTCTCTTGAGTAGCTGGGATTACAGGTGTGTGCCCCCACACCTGGCTAATTTTTTTATTTTTAGTAGAGATAGGGGTTTCACCATGTTGGCCAGGCTGGTCTCGAACTCCTGACTGCATGTGATCCACCCACCTTGGCCTCCCAAGGTGGTGGGATTATAGGCATAAGCCACTGCTCCTGGCCATGACCACACCTTTAAATTAGTAATTAAGGTTAAATGAGGCGGTGTAGTGGCTCACAGCTGTGATCTCAGCACTTTGGAAGGCCGATATGGGAAGGTCACTTGTGACCAGGTGTTTGAGACTAACCTGGGCAACATAGTGAGACCTTATCTCAAAAAGAACAAAAATAAAAATTAAATGAGGCCAGAAGTTGGGACCCGAGTTAAACAGGACCTGTGTGTTTATAAAGAGAGGAAGAGAACAGAGTGCTCTACACTGGCTTAAAGAAAAAGGCCCTGTGGGGGCACAGTGAGGAGGTGGCCTTCTGCAAGCCCAGGGGAGAGGCCGCAGGAGACACCAAACCTGCTGGCACCTGGGTCTCGGACTTCTCGCCTCCAGCACATTGCTGCTGCTTGAGCGGCCCAGTTCGTGGTATTCTGTAACGGCGGCCCTGGAAGACGAACACACCAGTGCTCTCTTCGCCAGTGCTCATGAGAGTTCAACAGCTAGAGCCGGAGGAACACCACCGCCGTCTGACAGTTTGGATATTTGTCTCGACTCAGGTCTCATGCTGAATTGGGATCCCCAGTGCTAGAGGTGGGGCCGGGGGGAAGCTGTCTGAATCACGGGGTGGATCCCTCACGCTTGGAGCTGGCTTTGTGATAGTGTGTTCCTGTGAGATCTGGTCATTTAGAAGCGAGTGACACCTCTGGCCTCTCTCTCTCTGTCTCTCCTGCTCCTGCTCTCACCACGTGACTTGCCCTTCCCTCTTCACCTGCTGCCCCAGGTAAAACTCTCTGAGGCCTCCCCAGAAGTTGAGTGATGTGGGCGCTATGCTTCCTGTAATGCCTGCAGAACTGTGAGCCAGTTAAATCTCTGTTCTTTTTTTTTGAGATGGAGTCTCCCTCTGTCGCCCAGGCTGGAGTGCCATGGTGGTGAGCTTGGTTCACTGCAACCTCTGCCTCCCAGGTTCAAGCAATTCTCCTGCCTCAGCCTCCTGAGTAGCTGGGACTACAGGTGCACGCTACTACGCACGGCTAATTTTTGTATTTTTTTTTTTTTAGTAGAGACAGGGTTTCGCCACATTGGCCAGGCTGGCCTTGAACTCCTGGCCTCGAACTCCTGGCCTCAAGCAATCCACCTGCCTTGGAATCCCAAAGTGCTGCGATTACAGGTGTGAGCCACCATGCCCGGCCATCTCTTTTCTTAGTAAGTCACCCTGTCTCAGGTATTTCTTTAGGGCAGTGCAAGAATCACCTAACACACAGTCTCTACAAAAAATTAAAAAATTAGCCAACCACGGTGGTTTGTGCCATTGTCTCAGCTACTTGGGAGGCTGAGGTGGAAGGATCACTTGAGCCTGGAAGGTTGAGGCTGCAGGGAGCTGTGATCACTGCACTGCACTCCAGCCTGGGTAACAGGACACCCTGCCCAAAAACAACCTGTCCAAAACCCAAAGAGCATATAATGAGTACCCACCCTGTGCCTGGCACTGCCATACACGCTGCGATCCAAAGGTGCCCGACGTGGTCCTTGCCCTCGGATACTACCCTGCCCTTGAGCTCTTGTTTAGGTCGGGAACAAACATCTACCAATGATTCCAGCAACATATTCCCATACACTAAGGGCCACGTTAGAGCTCATGCAGGTGCAATGAGAGCTCAGTGGAACAGCGAATCTCCAGGGAGAGGCCCGGGAGAACTCAAGGAAGGCCTTGCTTGCATCTGAGTTGATTCTTTGGCGAGTCGGCCCAGCTTCCCAGCAAAGACAACGGCATACTCAGAGACACAGAAGGGACCCACAGGCCAGCGTGATGAACTGTGATGCCACAGCTGCTTGTTTTTTTTGAGACGGAGTCCGGCTCTGTTGCCCAGGCTGGAGTGCAGTGCGCAATCTCGGCTCACTGCAACCTCCACCTCCCAGGCTCAAGCGATTCTCCTGCCTCAGCCTCCCAAGTAGCTGGGATTACAGGCACACGCCACCACGCCTGGCTAACTTTTTGTATTTTTAGTAGAGTTGGGGTTTTACCACGTTGGCCAGGCTGGTCTCCTGACCTCAAGAGATCTGTCCCCTTTGGCCTTCAAAAGTGGTGGGATTACAGGCGTGAGCCTGCGTGCCCGGCCTCACAGCTGCTTCTCACACAGCACCTGAAGGCAGAGCCTCCTCCTCTTCCACTTTCAGGTTTTCTGTCCAGTCTGGTCCTGGGTGGTGAGAAGAGCCAGAGTGGAATAAGGAGATGCTGGTGGGAGAGTATGGTCTGACGGCAGGAAGAGGACAAGGCAGGAAGCAGCAGCCTGGGAAGAACCTGCGAGAAAAGTGCTGGGCAGGCCCTAGAAATGAGTGAGACAAGGGGCCGGGCGCAGTGCCTCACGCCTGTAATCCCAGCAGTTTGGGAGGCTCAGGCGGGTGGATCACGAGGTCAAGAGATCGAGACCATCCTGGTCAACATGGTGAAACCCCGTCTCTACTAAAAATACAAAAAATTAGCTGGGCATGGTGGCGCGTGCCTGTAATCCCAGCTACTCAGGAGGCTGAGGCAGGAGAATTGCCTGAACCCAGGAGGCAGAGGTTGCAGTGAGCCAAGATCGCGCCATTGCACTCCAGCCTGGGTAACAAGAGCGAAACTCTGTCTCAAAAAAAGAAAAAGAAATGAGTGAGACAAGCCCAGCTTCTCAGCAGTGGCTTGCACCTGTGATCCCAGCACTTTGGGAGGCCAAGGTGAATCACCAGAGGTCAGGAGTTTGGAGACCAGCCTGGCCAACATGGTGAAATTCAATCTCTACAAAAAATACAAAAATTAGCCAGGCATGGTGGTGCATGCCTGTAACCACAGCTATTTGGGAGGCTGAAGCAGGAGGATCACTTGAACCTGGGAAGTGGAGGTTGCAGTGAGCTGAGATCACACCATTGCACTCCAGCCTGGGTGACAGAGGGAGCCGAGGTCACGCCACCTCACTCCAGCCTGGGTGACAGAGGGAGATTCCGTCTTGGGGAAAAAGCCAACCAATCAACCAAAGACACCCAGAAACAAGGAGCAGCCAGGCTCTGCTGGAAGGGAACGTGGGGCCCCTGTGCTGCTCTCTCCCCTCCTCGGGCCCCGAGATCCCAGCTTGATTCCAGCACTATTCCATGTCAGTGAGGAGCTGCTGAAGCGCTGGAGGTCTCCAGAACACAGGGTCCCTCTCTCTCCCGGGCTCAGAGGCACGGTTCTGTCACGTGACAGTCCAACCAGCAGGGCTCGCAGGAGGCAGGTCCCTTCAAACACCCCCTCACCTTTCCTCTCCAGGGGTGCTGGCCTAATGCGCCTGCTGGGGTGGGGAGCGCAGACAGAGAGGCCTGCGGGAGACCCAGCCTCTTGGGCAGGAAGGGAATCTCCAAGTCTAGACGGCACATCACACTAGGCATACAGCATCGGAGCAGCTCACCCGCCCTTCTCCCGTTTCCCTGTTGGCTGGTTTAGTTTCGGAGTCATGGCTGGGGTATCATGATACGTAGAAGTTTCTCTTGCTGGGGAACGGTACTGACACCTCCACACAGCTAATAGAGACCTTAAAGATAATTTGTGGCCGGGCGCGGTGGCTCACGCCTGTCAGCCCAGCACTTTCGGAGGCCGAGGCAGGCGGATCTCGAGGTCAGGAGCTCAAGATCATCCTGGCTAACACGGTGAAACACCGTCTCTACTAAAAGTACAAAAATTAGCTAGGTGTGGTGTCACATGCCCGCCATCCCAGCTACTCCAGAGGCTGAGGCAGGAGAACGGCTTGAACCTGGGAGGCAGAGGTTGCAGTGAGCCGAGATCACACCACTGCACTCCAGCCTGTGCGACAAAGCGAGACTCTTATCTCAGAAAAAAAAAAAAGATAATTTTTGTCTAATTTTGGATGTTAGGCCTCCACACGCAAACACACATCATCTCCGCAAGCCCCATCCTGGCTCAGCCCTGTTCTGATGGGTCAGCAGGAACCCAAGGTGAGAAAGGTCAGTCCTTGGCACTAAGACAATTCAGTGGTTAGCTGACTTTCCTGCCTCCGTTCTTTCAGGAACTGCATAGTTATATCACATAACGTGACAGGGATTCAAAGGACCATATCTCAGCTGGGTGTGGTGGCTCATGCCTGTAATCCTAGTATTTTGGAAGGCTGAGATGGGATACTCGCTTGAGCCCACGAGTTCAATACCAGGCTG